GAATATGGTATCACAGAAATAAAGAAACAGATATGAATCAGAATTACTAAGCACAAGGCTTGGTAAGATAGTTTGATAATACATGAGAAGAAAGTAAAAAAGAAAATGGTTTGAGTTCTAAACAAAAAAGACTGAATATCCTTAACAGCTGAACAAACGAGAGTAGTTATAAAGTCTTAAACTCAAGAGACAAATACGTGAAACAAAATCAAATAACAAACATTTCATAAAGGTATACAAGAAAATACCCGAGTACTGCTCAATGAAACTCATATTCAGGCGGAGTTCTTAGTGGGATGAAACTTAGCAAGACAATCATAAGAACAAACATACCTATCGAGGTTGTCATGCGTCTTAAGAACCAAGGAGAAAGTGCAGCGAGAGTGACATACGCAGCAAAGTGGTCGAACTATACCAATGTTGGAAATTACTTGAAATTCATATTCCCACCATACATCAGACTTGTCACTGTATCGATCATACTTGACCTCCTGGTGCGTGATTATGCTTCCCGGAGAAATACTTCCGAACAGATCTCCAAGTACACACTTGATATGCAAAGTTGTTCCACACTCATCACATGTATAGTAAGGTTTGACATAATCAACCCTTTTCTCACAAATATCACACCAGATATTTGGGTCATACATCAAAAACCCAGGATAGTATAGTCGGAGAGTATGATCATCTGACTTGTGCATCACCCTTTCCGGAAAAATGGCACATTTGAAATGGAGATTATTGTAGTTCAAACTGATAAACTGCCCACATGAATTCTCAAGACATTCAAACCCGAAATATGCACGCAAACAGCAAGTCTTGAAATCAACTGTCTTTTCCGAGAAGTAGTATAAAGGATGGTGATGAGCTTCACGTATTAGTGGTTCAGAAATCGAAATGCATTGTAGATATATTATTTCACCGGGGCCGTTTTTGTACCTGAAGCCACTGGAGTATCGCTCACATGCAAGACAACGGAAGCTGTCGTGGAAATAAGAGGCACCTCCGACCAGAACAAACTTCTCTGGTAACAGCACATGACTTATCTTGCGGGGAAGTTAGCACATCTTTCGTGAAGAATGAAATCGCATTGCATGCATTCATAAAACGTTTGAGAGCCAATAGGTGCTACGCAGGCGTTGCAGCTTATGTCTACACTCCCATCCTTCATAAGTTTCATATCATGTTCTTCATGAGTGAAATGTGTTATTAAGTTATCACCTATTACCTAGCTTGTCACAAAAAAAAAGTTATCACCTACACCCTCCCTTTTTTAATATAAGGTGTTTTGCCTAAAAACAAAAAAATTAAAAAAATATATTTTTTCAAAAATTAAATTAATAAATAAAGTAAAAAATTCCAGTTAAATTATAAAAGAGATTGTAGAATACTATTGTATCCAATAAAAAAAAATTACTATGAGAACGTCTTATATTATGAAAAAAAAAACTTATAAAACACCTTATATTAAAAACAAAGGGAATATTACCTTGAATGGTGCAACATCTTCAATTTCTTCAGACTTCAGGTTCTCCTTCAATGTCTCTTCCATCCCATACATGGGTCTTGGTTGCACATCTCGAATGGACAGCATATTTGCATTTCTTTGAGCAAGAGTAAGCCCCGTAAGAAGAATCCATAGTTTTGCGACAAACTCCGCATTGCTGACTCCAATTCCCAAAATCGTGATCATAAGTGTGGGAAAGGGGATGATCATGGCGATTGGTGCAAATGGTGCCTGGTAAGTCAACACAATACCAATGAATCATGAAATTGCATCGACTACATACATAAGGACTTCGATCCCCTTCCGTCCCACATGCGTTGCAAACAAAAGTGATGTTTCTTGGCATGAGGGTAAGTTCATGCTTATGGGTTTTGGAGCTTACAAAAGCAGCAGGTGGTGGATTCTTAACACATTTTAGATCAACCATAAAGTTGCAGATGGAACAACGATAACTACTTTGACGCTTGATATCTACCCCACATAGGCTGCAACTACAACCATCGTTGCCAGAAGGATCCACGGATGATCCCTGGACGAATTTAAGTTGGTGTCGTGGATGAAAAGGGTAGTTAATCTCCGGTGAGAAGGAGACACATTCAATGTGAACAAAGAAGTCGCATAGGCTGCAGAAGTAAACATACATATTACTGTAGCGGTTTCCACCACATAGATGACATGTGAAATCAGTGTCTGTTCTTGACATCAATGTGAGTGTATGCTCATGAGCCTTTGGTTGCTCAATGATGGGAAGCGGTGGGTTTATGGCGCATCGGGTGTCTAATGTGAAGTCACATATGGAACAATGATAGCACAATACCTCCGAATTGACACCACAAAGATGACATCTCTTGCCACTGCATTGCGGACCAGCTAAGAGCTTGAGAGAATGTTAAGGGTGAGAAGGATGGTTGATCTCAGGAGTGGACTCTCCGCATTTCTTGTGGAGATAAAACTCAGGACACTGCGAGCAACGATAGCCGTCGTCCATGTGACCTTCTCCATAACACCCATGGCAACTAAGAAGCAACCACCCATAGGTGCTGTTGCCGTGGATACGGTTACCACCTACACGATACAGAGGATGCTCGTGAACCGGTAACTTGAATTTTTCCATAAGGGAGGTTTGAGATTTTTCTTGGTAGTGAATTGTTTCCTTTGGCCAAAAATGTAATGATTAGTAGCTGTGATGACTCATTATCTCACTTATATTAATTTATGATTTATAAGATCGAGACCCATTTATCTAGTTTTTTTCTCTCTTTTCTAGTCTGTCTTTTGGATTTAATTATTCGTCTCTCTTCTTTAAAAACGGATATGACGAAAGATCGAGCCGGAGATCTTGGCAACAAACACGGC